CGGTCGTCGCATTTCCCGACCAGGAGCACGGGCGAGTGCACTTGCGAGCAGAGGCACCGAATCAGCGATGGTACCAGCGCACGGTTGAGGATGAAACGTCCCGCTGCGCGTCGGGTGGCCGAAGTTCCGGATAACGTGGGGGCGTCGAGGAGTGACTGTGTATCTGGAACCTGAATGACGGTCGACGATGCGCAGGTACAAAGTCATCGAGGCGCCTGACAAGGGCGTCCAAACGGTTCTCGATGCTCGCGAGCGCCGGGTCTGCAGCGGTGGCCGGTGGCGGTGTGGTAATGGCGTTGAGGCTATGTGCCCGCGAGTAGTCCGCCACTCGGTCAGCCATTTCAGTGAGTGTGTCTACTGGAACATCTCCTGCAGCTACGAGGACCGGGACCATGCTCTGCGGTAAGCGCTGGAGGAACAACTCACGTAACAGCTTCTCCTCTTGAGGGGCGGAGGGGCTGCCAAGGAGCTGGCGCATGCGTCGCAGGAGCTGTGATGGGCTACGGTCACCGAGCTCTGTAGCCGTGATGAGCTGTTGGAGTCTGCTGTGTTCGGACTCAGACTTGCGGGAATTGATAGCTGCCTTCAACGTGTCGTAGGGATCGCTCGGGTGCTGCGACGCTAAAATATCAGTTAAGCCGTCGGCTACGTCTGGAGGTAAGCAGGATACCAGATGCCAGTGTCTGGTCTGTTGGCTGGTTATTTGCCGTAGGCGGAAGGGCGCCTCGACCTGCAGAAATCATGTGCTAGGGCTGTTGGGCCAAAATGGTGGCAGGTTGACATGTTGAATCGCAGCGACTGCAGCACTGCGAGGTCTGGCGTCTTCTTGGGCGTCAGGACCGGTAGGATTGGTGGCAGAGCCGGCGGGATCCATGCGGGATGATCGGGGCTATGTGTTCTTTATCGGGTCACTATTAACTGTCGGAGCTAACACGGGAAAGATCCAGCCCTGACAGCGTTCAGTTTTCGAACTGATTTTTTTTATTATTGCGCTGCACCCGCCGCGCGGCCTAAATGCCAACGTCTTCTTCCTTGACGAGCGGTGCATTGAGGCGCTACATAAGTAAACAAGGCACGTCTTCCATTTTAACCCAGGCAAGACGCTATATCTTCCACCCTTTCTAATGTTGCTGGCGTATTACAAAGCCTGAAAAGCATAATATTGAAATCTGACGGCCACTACAGGTGTCACAAAAGCTGTTTTGGTGGATCAGTAAATACCTGAACCATGGGTCTAGTGACAAGAAGACTTCAGCGCCTTGCAAGCAGTCCAGGACATCATCGACGCGTGGCAAAATGTACGCATCCTTAGGCGTAATCTTGTTTAAACGATGATAATCGACACATAACCGAATCGAGCCGTCTTTTTTCTTCCTGAGCACTACAGGTGAAGATTGGGGACTACTGGGCGGCTGAATGACGCCGCGTAGCATGTTGTCCACTTGTTCTGTGAGCACATGACGCTTAGCAAGAGATACACTGTAGCGGCACTGTCGCAGGGGTGCTTGGGAGCCGGTGTTAAGTTGGTGGACAACGGCGTGTCTTTCGCCTAACGACGTCTACTGACAATCGAACGAGCGGAGAAAGTGGTGAAGTTCTAGGAGCATCTCGCTGTGTGCTTCTTCAAGTTCGCCGTCAATTGATGGTTCAAACAAATTCATGTTTGCGAGAACAGGCTCACTGGTAGACGGCGTCGGTGAATTAAGCTGCAAATCACTTTCGCCGTCAAGACCGAAGATGGACGAAGCGTTCAAGTCTTGGAACGTTCCAATGCATTCCCCGCGAAGCAAGGTTCTGGTTGACGGCAAGGGATTCGTGACAAATAAACTCGTTGTGTAATCTTAATATCTAGAATAGGAAATGGCAACGCGAGGCTCATGCGATGTTAGATTGTTTGGGAAGGCGTAAACAGCACTGCCGACTAGAACGAATCAGCACAGGACACGTTAACAAAGGCTACGCCATTCGGTTTTATGTCAATGCCGTCGGCGACATAGAGCTTGTTCGATGCAGGTTTTGGATACGAGGCACACAACGCAGAGACGGCCACTTCAGCACGAGGACAGTCAATAGCTGTATGATCATGAGACAGAAAATCCCAGCCTAGGATCACATCACGAGAGCACACAGGTAGCACAAGAAATCTAACCGTACACACATCTTGTAATCCAACGAGGGCTGTACCGGCCGCGGATGGCGCAACACGGTAAGCACTGGCAGTACGGAGGAACAGCTATAGTCCCTTTGACGTCATGGTAACCTTCCCAAGCAGGCGGCACAGTTTTAAATCAATCACTAAAATGGCAACACCAGTGTCCACAAGCGCTAGGGTACGGTAACCATCCACAAGAACGTCGATCAGATTTACCAGAAAAATTTGATGACTTGATTATTTTGAAAATGACGCAGTTCGTGCCTTGGGAACTGCGTCTTCTAGTTTTCTGTGTCTGAAGGGTAGGGTCGACGGCGCATAGGTGATGGGGAACGACATCGGGGAGATGGAGATCGGCGACTAACTGAGGTTAGGCGGGTCGGGTGAAGATCCTTGCCGTGCTGTGATGCTAAAGCGCCGAGAGTCGTGCGACGATATTTGCATGGTATCTTGTGACCAAGAGGGTGGCGGCGTCGGAAGTGTGCCACATGTCTTACATAACCACTAGAATAGCAGATAAGGCGGTTGCCTGTGGTGCGCCGCGCATTCGGAAACGCTAGACTGGTCGGCCGAACAGCGCTGATGATGACCGAACAGGCACCGGCGAGGGAGAATAAGTGCACTGTCGAGACGCTCGGGTTGCAGTGACTTGCGCAATACATGAAGGGTGCGTCCTACAGAGGAGGTTAACGAGCCAAAGGCAAAGCGTCAACTACCTTATCGTGTATGACGTCCCTTATGGGCGGGGTCAGATGATCTGAGGCCGGATGATACGTCTGTGCTGGTTCGCGCGTGCTCGATGAAATGGAGAGCTGCTGAGAGACCTCCTCACACACGAAGTGCTTTGTGTGAGCTAACATGTCATTCTGGTCTCCGAGAGTCTAGGCCGTGATTCAGTCACGCTGTTTCAGAGAGCGCCGTGTTTGGGCGTGTTGCTTGCATATTTCGTCAAAACTCTGGCACAAGCTGACCAGATCGGCTATGGTTTGTGGGTCTTTGGCTAACAACATTTGAAATGCGTCATCGGCTATTCCCTTGAGTATCTGCTTGGTCTGCTATAACCTTGAATGTCTGTTTCCGGCATCGCTAAGTTTACATGCTTGCACATGTCAACAATGTCTTCAATGTAGCTGGTAAAGGTTTCTCCTGGCTGTTGAGCGCGCTCACGAAGTCGTTGTTTTGCGCGGAGTATTCGCACAGGAAGGCGGTTAAAGTCTTGCGAAAAGGCCGTCTTGAGCGAATCCCAGCTGGTAATACCGACTTCGGGATTCCGTAGCGAGAGACTAGCGACGCCGGACAAGTAAAACTTTGATGTGTCAGCTTAGCCACATCATCCTACTTGTTCGCTGCACTCACCTTATGGTAAGTAGCCAGCCACTCCTCGAACTCTTGGCCGTCAGTGCCGCTGAAGATCGATGCGTGGCGCAGTGGCCACATGCCAGCACATGCAGTGGCGGGAACCTGGGAGATACCTTGGGTGGAGAGTTTTTCTGGCATTGCTGCCACTGAAGGTAAGGTGCGACTTCGTAGATCCAGCTTCGAAGTCACACGCTGCACCTCCACCAAATTATAAGGGGGTATATTGACCAAAACAAACCGCCTGGTTTCAGGGGAGTCAGTCAGTCACTGTCACGTACTCGCTTAGCTCTTCGTCGCAGTCTTCTAGCTGCTCCTACGATACTCTCTCTTCACCACCACAGTGAAGACAATTACACTTTTGTGTTATGAGAGACCAATCGTGTTGCTTTTTTCATACTGTCTTCCCTTAAGGGCAAACATGGAATGACAATCTCACATGGAACGATGGAACTTTGGCGGGGTTTGACAAACCAAGCAAATAAAAAAGGTGAATCCTATGTGCAGCGAGCATGGAGCACTGTCGCTAGGCACAAAGTCTACTCAGGCAGCACTAATTTCATTATATGAGGTGTTGCAGTGACTGCAGTGCGTATATTCGGGAAAATGGAACTCACGAGAGCGTTCAAATGCGCATAATTTAGACATGTTATAATATACAATAAATTGTGTGCCGCTTATATGCACGCAGAACCACGAGTTTGAAGGCACACTAAAGAGAAAAACGATTTTCCGCATGTCAGTCATGTAATATTTCACAATTTCCAAAACACCAGTCTTGCCACGACACGACGTTTAGTACAAGCGAAAAGAAAATGTGGGTCACGACGGCACCTGCAGATTTCTGCACCAAAAACCAATTGCAAGATACATTTTGAAATTCTTACGCCACAGCGGAGATTTTGGCACAAAATTCAATAATGACCCTTCAAACTGGATTTTTTCCGCTAATGATGCATAGCGAAACATACATCATTAGAGTTCTTGGAGTGACATTTGTCAATCTTAACCAAGTCGCTGTTCCTCCTATGTGTCCCGCCTTTAATCCTTTAACGCTATTCGGCTTCAAGTCTAGTGGTTACAGCTGCCTCAGTCATCAAACCGCGGAGCTTCCTGCGCTGAACAATAATCGCTCTAGCAATGGCCACCACAGAACGACGTCACTTTGGCTTTCGACCCGCGTGTCCTGGCTGACGTCGACGCCACGCCGGATGCGCTCGCCGCGCACACTGGCGTCAGCGGCAAGGGGGGACGAGGAAAACCGCCGGGCACGCTCCACTCACAGCTAGCGTCGTCGCCGTGCATACAGCAAGCAGGGCGCGCCCTTTACCCAGGCTGCCTCGCCCCATACAGCAAAGTAAGTGTCGACCTCAGCATGCTGTCACGACGCGTACGTGCGCATTGTAAGACCGATTCAACGTCGAGAGGCCATTAATTTATGGAGGAAGTCGAAACTGTGCTGCGCGCGTTATTTGCGCCCCACACGGCCTGTTGCACAGAAGAAGCAGATCCTTATCAAGTCGTATTTAGAGTAACTCTGGTCTGAATGCGTAAAATGTAATGTACGTATTCGTACCTTCATACATCGCTCCCCGTTTAGGAAAACACGCGCTGAAGGTAGTGGAAATACGGGTCGCTATTTCACTGGGCTTCTTCTCATCAACTGAGCTGACCTGGCAGTTTCGGTAAGTAAACGAGTAAGAGCCAGCGATCCAAATATTAGATCATACCATCAAACCCTTGGGCCTGCTACAGATATTTGATTGTTTATTTACGTATTACATATGCTTTCAGAGCCGGGGGCATTTATGAAAGGAATGGTTAGCTATATATACGAATGTGCAGTAGGTATAAGAATAAGATTACAAATTACCGAAACGCCGTGTCCTAAATAGCACTTTCGAAGTTGGCATCAATAATTGCTGCGATGGAGGTGGGAAGGTGGTTCCGTTCCCTGTTGGTCTGGGGGATAAAAGAGTGACCTTACTGGTTAGTTCAGCGTAGTGGGAAAATAGCCTTAAAGTTGTTGTCCACGCGTGGTAAAATGTGCTCAGGTGAAAGAAAAAGATGTTTTTCTTCGTCTTCATTTCGATGATAAATTTTGTGAGAGAGACAAAGATGAAGACATTTATGACTGAGAAACAGACAGACAGCTGTAGTGCATTCTTCATTGCAGATACAGAAGCGTAACGGGCGTATTTGGACAAGATAAACCAAGCGGCCTGCTGCTCAACAGATTCAAGTGTTTTGATTAGCCCGGTTTGATTAGGGTCCCACACCGTGTTTGCGTATTCTAGTTTTCGACGAAATAAATTTTTATACAAAATTAATTTTAAAGAACTTTACGCAACGTTCTATAACTGTTAATGTAGTAGCAGAAAAATGGATAGTATGTTATGATGATGATGATATTATTATTATTATTAATATTATTATTATTATTATTATTATTATTATTATTATTATTATTATTATTATTATTATTATTATTATTATTATTATTATTATTATTATTATTATTATTATTATTATTATTATTATTATTATCGAAATGTTACATCTCAAGGAATGATACGGCTAAAAGTCGATTAACTGCCAGACAATGGCCTCACCACCCAAGCACTGTTCAACAGGGTTTCAAACATATAGAAATTATGCAATTGAACAGAAAGTGGAAGCACTAAAAGAAAATAAACACTTCACACAATGCTATCAGGAACAGTGCTTACACGCATAAAAAGATTTAAACAGAAGTAGTATTTTTTTTTAATGCAAACGTCGTACACAACAAACAATTGAGGCTCTGCTCATGCTATGAGGGCACAAAGGACAGGAAAAATATTTAACGACCAGCTTGTCAGCAGGATGTCATCATGAACACAAAAGTTGTTCATGATGACATCCGAACGATTCCAAGTGTCGTCACCGCGGAAGTTATGCACTGCATACGCGTTCTTTTCGCGGTTTCCTTTTGGCACGCAGTTGGCGCGTTAGGTTACGCAGATCGAGTGCGCTCTTGTCAACTGCACGGTTAAAAAACGAAGTCCGGGGCGAAGTGGTCTCTACGTGTTCCAACCCTGAGACGGTTCACGAGAGCTCGCGCCTATTATACGAACGACTTCCGGAATAATGACACGTGTTCCCGACTCTCTCTATTGATGAGCTGCGTTCTCCTTCGTCATCCGTTTCTACCGCAGAAAGGACATCAATTCGCCATGTAATACTTTCGTACCCCCGAGATCAGTCTGCGGTAATCCCCGTTTGGCTATAGGCTCCAAGGACGTCGCACTCGAGTGCATTTGAGCGTGTTTATTTCGAGTTCAGAGCTCGCTAACTTGATTGATTTGATTGTTTGATTGATTGAAGTGTGGCTTTTATTGTCCCAAAACCACCACTATTTTATGAGAGGCGCCGTAATGCTGGGCTCCAGGAATTAGGGCCGTCTGGGGTACTTTATAGCGCGCCCAAATCTGAGCACATGGACCTACAGCATTTTCGCCTCCATCGAAATTGCAGCCGTTGAAGCCGGGATTTGATCCCACGACCTGCGGGTCAGCAGCTGAGTACTTAGCCACTAGACCACCACTGCGGGGCGAGCACGCTAACTTAACGCACACGTTGTAACAAGTGGCTAAGCTCTCGGCTGCTGACCCGCAGGTCGCGGGATCGAATCCCGGCTGCAGTGGTCGCATTTTCGATGGAGGCGGAAATGTTGTAAGCCCATTTGCTCAGATTTTACTGCACGTAAAAGAACCCCAGGTGGCCAAAATTTCCGGAGTCCTCCACAACGGCATCTCTAATATTCATACGGTGGGTTTGGACTTTTAAGCCCACATATCAATCAATAAGTTTGATAGCATCAGCCTTGCATGGCATTCTGTATAGATCTGGCAGTAGTCAGATAAGACGTTACAGGCCCAAAAAGTGAAAGAAGAAATACGTTGGTTGTATTAAAGCGCATAAAGAAATAAACCAAGAGAATATAAGTTCCATGACGCGCAATATGGCAATAATCACAGACCTGTTTGGCTTGCTAATGTTTGACAGTGCATGCGAATGCGTGACTTTCACCCTAAAACCACCTCATTTCTGGTAGGCTCCAGATTTTATTACATCCATTATTGCTCCCTGGCTTTTGTAAAAAATACTCGGATTTGCATAGTAAATCAAGGTGTATAGAATGATAATCGTGCTCCTAGTACAGAATGCGCCATGAAAGCGTTCATACAGCGACGTGAACAAATTCGAGATGACAAAACAAATGACAACTAATGGCTGGCTGTGCTCATGGAACGTATACCTACCGTTTTCCATTCCCATAACTTCATTTACTTGTGCTGGCTGACTGTGCGGTAATTGACGCCGCCACAAAGTGTGGCTCTATGTGTGTGCGCTTCATACCGGGGAACTCTTGGTGTCACGTTCACATAACGAGATAACTTTCCTCAGGACGCTTGGGAACATTCAGTGGAGGAATACTCAGACCGTAAGTCCAGAGCTTAGCGTGGGGTGCCACTATCCTCGATCTCATATCCTTCGAGTGCACCTCCATGGACACCCGCATATAAAATGCGAAGCATTTCTCTGCGTACTGCTGACAGTTTGAGCGTTTCTATCTACGTACTTATCTATCAAGCTACCTAAGTCTGGGAGCTCCCAAGGTCAGCCACTTCACTTGGAGTAGACCCATGTTAGTATGAAAGAGAAAAGGGGTTTAACGCTTATGACTGGCTTGTCATGACATGAACAACGTGAAAATCTTGTCTTGTTCTATTGATTGATATGTGGGAAATTACCATATGATTATGAGACATGCTGTAGTGATGGGTGCCGGAAATTTCAACCACCTGGGTTCTTTGATGTGCACCCAAATCTGATCACACGTTCTTCAAGGTCTGTGTCAAGCCCTTTCCTTCAGACACGTGTGGCACATACCCGTACGCGACGGGTCGTGGTATCCGGATATGCAGCAAAGGTGTCTTCCAGTTTATATAAGACCAGGAACGGCGAGACCAGCCATTGGCGATTAAATGCTACAAGCTTACGTAAACCAACAGCGGAAGCCTTGAGCCGATGAATGCAATGATATGGGTCCAGATGAAATCGAACCAAGTATACCAGATAGCCACGCCAGGTTTCGGAACTACTTCTCAATTAGACCTTAATTGTAGTGAAATGTCAATTTATGCTAAAATGCTGGCTATCCAATTTAATAAACATTACATACATACTCCTATGATACAGCTGTCACGTCGGCTAATGTCACATGTAGTTAGGCTACATCCGCTGAAGTTGATTTAGGTAGCCATTCAGGACTACCATTCGCGCGAGCACCAGCAGATCGTATTAGTTTACTGCTTGTGGTGTTTCTAATATTCATGTTGATTATTACGCAACTGTACACAACTGGTTATATAAAACATATGCTGCTGTTAAACGTATGTCTGTGCGTGGATTCGTGCATGTCTCTGACACCACTTCACAACGTTACGCTGAATACAAGAATTACAACACAGTCCCTTTCCATCCGAATGCTTTGAAAATAACATCGATTTTCAAGATACATGTGATCTGCTCAATTGTTATTCATAACGTTGCGTTTCCAAACTCCGTGCGACACCAAAGTTCCGAGTTCTCCCTTTAATCGACACTGCTGCGCTGATGGCTGCGTATACTGTCCTGAACGACACACACACACACACACACACACACACACACACACACACACACACACACACATATATATATATATATATATATATATATATATATATATATATATATATTATATACAGGCCGGTCAGTCAGCCAAAATTCGAAAGACAAGAGCCAGCAACGCTAAGAACAAGAAACGCCTTTAATTTACGGCTCAAAGAATGACAATTGGCCTTCCCAACGGCACGACACTGCACGAGTGCAAGCGGTATATATATATATATATATATATAATATATATATATATATATATATATATATATATATATATATATAATATATATATATATATATATATATATATATATATATATATATATATATATATATATATATATATATTGTACCGGAGCATAGTGGCGCCAGCTCTGTGCCAGCGTGAAAGACGTTGTTGACGTCCATGTGGCTCGTGCTTGCCGGCTTCCCGTCTGAACCAGCTTGTTGCGACTAACACTTCTTGAATAATAACAAGTATTTATACGTGAACTCGCTTGTTCCATTTGGTGGAAACGTGCTGGGTAACATCCTGGAGCTCCGCAGCCGTAAGCTAACACCTGACTCCGCAATGACCGAGCACGTCCATCCCCCACAAGCCTCTTCCGCGCCCCCGCCTGTAATGTGCCCTGGTGTACTTTGTCTGCGTCACCCACCAGTCTACAACGGCACTGAAGATCACGATGCCGAGGACTGGCTGGCAGAGTACCAGCTTGCCAGCGCGATTAACAAGTGGGATGACCTTGCGAAGCGTACTCACGTTATCTTATACCTGACAGATTTCCCCAACCTATGGTTCACCAACGACCAAGCCGACATCCCCACCTGGTCTGTTTTCAAAGAGACCGTGACCTCATTTGTCGGTCGTCTAGCTGTGCGCAAGCTTCGCGCTGAACTTAGCCTTGTGGGACTAAGCGAAATAGTGACAGCTTCACGAGCTACATTGAGGATGTGATCAGCCTCTGTAGGCGAGTTG